CACTGTACAACTTAGTCGTATTTTTTTTTTTTTTGGTATTTTAGGACAGGGTCTACAGGGTCTCACTGTGTAGATCGGACTCATAGTGATCCTGTTTACAGCCTCCCAAGTGCTGGAATTATAGGCGCCCTACCACACCCAGTCTAAGACTTTATATCTAAAGAATTAAAAAAGAGAACAATTATAGATTGATTACTAGTTTTTTCAAGTGTACTACATAGTGATATCTGATCAATTCTATGCAGTCTGTTAATAGGATATAGCTGGTGCATTTTGCCTTCAGGCAAAAATAACCATCCTGAAAAATTTTCTAGGCTAGCTGGGCATAGTGGTGCATACCTAGAATCCTAGCACTTAGGAGACCTGAGGCAGAAGGATCACTGTGAGTTCGATGCCAGCCTTGGTTACACAGTTCAAGACCAGCCTGAACTGTGTGAGATTCTGTTTCAGAAAAACAAAAACAAACAGAAAAAAAATCTGCTAGGCTAAGAATAAAAAGAGCAAAATTACAAAGACTGATTTCAGCTCTAAGAGCTAATGTTGATATAACTAATATAAAGACGCAGTTACCACTATCCTGGAATGCTTTCAGGAAAGAGAAGTGTTCTCTCAGTGAAATATACTGTCACCAGGAACTGGGCTGGGAATCAATTACCTTTCATCAGAATCAAGTCCATCTACAAAAAACTCTGATGCTAACTTCTCCTGGAGGAACCGATCCCAGCATTCCTTTTTGGCCTGGGCCAAGGTTCGAAGCATGTCCTTGGAAGTCACTTCCTCATTTAAACCTTTGATTCTTCTTAGTTTCTTCTCTGAAGAAGTAAGAAATGGAGCTTAACAAAGAAAGTCAGTATGAAATGAAATTTTAACTGAATCTAAAAAGCAAATACAAAATTCTCTGTTTAGTATATCTACATTTCCTGTAAAAGAGCTAATTTTTAAAAGATAAAAAGGCATCAAACATATTCTTCTTTCCTACAGTGTGTTCATCCTGCATTATATCAAATAAATGTTTAACCTCACAAAATGGAAAACAGACAGGTTCTCATAAATAGTCACTGGTATGTTTTCTTTGAAATCACATAAGCCAGCAGGTACTTCTCTAAGAAATGCTTGTTTTCCCTACCTCGACATGTGCATGTTATCTTTTCTTCAATTCCTTGAAAATGTCTCTGAGGAGTAAATGGCTTTTTTCCTTATTAAAATGACATGAAGTGGTTTCCAAATCTCATGAGAAAGAATTATTAGAGAAAATGGTAAGAGAGTCAGTGGTTCATTAGACACTAAAATTGACTTGATGAGAACTCAATAATAAGAGACCTTTAAAATCTCTGTATGATTAAATTCTTGATTAAACAAAAAGAATCTTCTAACATTTTTTTAAACAATTGCTCAATTTTTGGCTTGGAAAAAGAGGCATCTTTTAATCCCTGTGAGGAAAGTCTATATGGTTTCCTGATGATAGATGTTTAATTCTTCTTCTTTGCATTTTAAGTATAATTGTTGAACATATTCCCTTTTTAGGAACACAAGAAAGGACATCACCAGTCACCCTCTTTCTTAATTCAGTGTTGCCTTCAAACACACCATACAATGTTTTGGTGAAGGACAGACCACACACATGAGGATGGTTCCATAAGACTATATCACTTAGTGATGCTCTATCTTTCTAAGTACCCTCCCCAATCTTCAAACAAGGATGAACTTAACTCCATTTCTTGGGAACCCCTACTGTTAAGCAACTGTACATGTGCACAGGTAAATAATAGTTTTTGGCTTTTTTAAAAAAACTTTTTGGACATAAGAGATGGGTATCAAATACAAAGCCACTAGAAACTTCATAACACAATCCTGTTTTCATTTCTAAACAAATCACATCAGCTAACACCCACTGATCAACCCAGGAAACTATGTTACTGCTGTCACCAAGGCACAAGCATATAAAAGGTCTGCAGTTAATAAGTGTTGAGCACTGAGAGGTTTTATCTTTTCCCAAGTATGTAAAAAGTATTATATATCTCATGTTTAACTGGATACGTTTTTAATTACTGCTCTTATCAGTACATTCTTTTTTTGAGGAACTGGGGATTGAACTCAGGCCCTTGCGCTTGCCAGGGAAGTGCTTATTCCACTGAGCCATCTCCCCAGCCCCCAGTACATTCTTTTTGACATAGGCTTATCTGGTAATAAAAACAATCTTCATGTTGCCTGGCCTTGGCTATGCCAGGAAAAGGTACTCTTTGGGGCTAGAAAAAGTTTTCCTTTCTTTCAAATGTGCTAAGTTCCTGATCAGGCAGGTGTTATCCCCAAAGGGCAGGCAGAAAAAGGTGCCTGCTGCTGTCACCCAGTTCATTTCTTAGACAACAGAAATGACTCTTATTTTCCTCAGAGGAGGAGATTCCAATCAGCAATTTCTCAACAGACTTTTAGAGAAGACTGGTAGTTTTAGTTCCAAATCAGTCATTATCAGTCAAACTATGACCATTTCTACAAGAGTTTCTTGTAACTCCTGGTCACGTGGTACTTGCTCTGGTTACCAGAGCATAAATTCCAACCTCACTGGCTGTGGCTACAAGCATTACTATTTCATTTCTGGTAGCTTCCCAACAAATTTGTATTACTCCTTCATCTTTCTTGCTCTCTATAATTTCAACTATATTTTTCTGCAATATATTAATAAAATTCCTTTTGTTTTTCCAAGATATTTCTTAGAAATCATATAAGATCTCTTCTGTCCCTCTTCAAACACTTTTTCCTAGATTGCCTTTTCCAAATGTCTTACCTCACAGATGTTCAGCAATAACAGAATATCACAAGAAGAAAGGACTTGGAAAGTTTTTAAGATATATAAAATAATAAATAGTTGAGGAGTAGATACGTTTATCTACTTGACATTTCAAAATGACAAGACATAAAACAGAATTTAGATGAAACGGTTAGTGACAGGAGGTAACAAAACCTTTTTTCTGAAACAGAGTCTTGCTCTGTAATTCAGGCTAGCCTTGAATTCTCTATGCAGCCCAGACTGGCCTCAAGCTCATAGCAATCTTCCTGCCTCAGCTTCCCAATGCTGAGACTACAGGTATGTGCCACCATGCAGTGACAAAAACTATTTTCAGGAAAGTACAAAAAGGAGGCTCCTTCCCAATAATCAACTTGAAACACCTTCTTGAATTTATTTTATTTTATTGAGAAACAAATATCAATGAGACACTTTCCAAGCTGATTAAAGGACATTTTCAATAATTAATAAATTGCACATTGTTATCTTCTCAGCGGTCATCCACAGCATAAGAAGTAGCCAGGACACCCCATCCAAACACTACTACTACTACAAATCCTTCCTCTCACTGAACCAAGCGAAAGTAGCTGTACATTTATCCTAACTATTCTGTATATACAAATACAAAATGGTCCTTCCTCTGTATCCCCCTCTCCAGTTCAGTCCTGTCAGAGATGGGTATTCTACTGGCATGTAAATATTATAGGTGCCACCTTCTTGAATTAGATCTGACAGATCATGTGGTAAAGATAAAACAAAGATTAAAAACAGGCAACCAGAAAAAAAAAGGAAACCAAGCCAAGCATGGTGGTACATGCTTATAATCTCAGCACTCAGGAGGCTGAGGCAGGAGGAGTGCTGTGTGAACACAAGGCCAGCCTGAACAACATAGCAACCTACTGTCTCCAAAAAAAAGAAAGAAACTGAGTTTGATGTAATAGATTTCAACATGGTTCCCTAAAACCACACGCTTCAAGCAGACATGGTGGCATAAGCCTTTAATTTCAACACTCAGGAGACTAAAGCAGGAACATCAAATATTTGATCCTGCCTGGGCAAATTAGTGATTTAGCAAAACCCTGATTCAAAATAAAATAGAAACATCTTTTAAAAGGCTAGAAGATCTAGGCATGACTATAATCCTAACACTCAGGAGATTGAGGCAGAATTGCTGAGAGTTCAAGGTCAACCTTCACTACAAAGTGACACTGTCTCAAAAGATAAAAATTAAATAAAACAAATTAAATGGCTGGGAATGTAGTTTGGTGTGAAGGCCCAGGGCTAAATTCATGAAATGCCTAAATAAACAAGACCAACAGCTTCTGATTTTACAAAGAGAAAAAGAGCTATCTAACTTACCTAGAGATGCTAAATACACTTCTGAATCCTGTAAGGGAGCCCACGGTTTTATAGCTGGCCGGACAGCAAAGTCCGCTGCCTCCCCCTGGTCTTTACATGCAGAGTAAGAATCTACAAAGGAGTCCGAGAAGGCATTGCTCACAACATCTTCTTGGTCAGGATGTGGCAGACAAGAACAGATTTCAGACCAGAGATCCCTGCCAGATTCTGTGGCTGTGGAGTCAACACTCTCAAACATTTTCATTTGGGATCTAAACTGGAAAATAGAAGTTTAGACAAATAAGGATAAAGTTCCAGCATATAATACATGTGTGTGGTACTCATGAAATTATTTATGCATTTGGGGAAAAAAAAAAAGGTAACAGGCTTGTAAGATATTTCTTTTTACAAAAATTGAAAATATCTTGTTAGATTTATATTACAGATAAAGACAACAAGAGCAGCTGAGTCCTTTCTCTAGCTCTGTACTCAAGTTGTTTTCGTAACAAGGTCTGTCCCTGAAAATCAAATCTCTACATTCTAACCCAAACACAAAAGGACAAATACTGTATGATTCCACTTCTTTGAACTACCTAGAGTCAAAGTGACAGAAAATACAGTGGTCACTAGCCAGGCATAGTGGTGCTTGTCTAATTCTGCATGCTGGAAGCCTGAGGCAGGAAGATCACACGTATAAGCCCAGCCTGGATGACTTTAGTAACTCAAGCAAGACCTGTTTCAAAATTTAAAAAATAAGCCAGGGAGATAGCTCAGTGGAATAAGTGCTTGCCTGGCAAGTACAAGGTCCTCAGTTCAATCCCTGGTGTGTGTGTGTGTGGGGGAAGCAAAACAAAACAAAAATGTAAAAAAATAAATAAGTATATAAGGGCTGAGGCTGTAGATCAGTGTGACGGTAAAGGGTTCAATCTGCATTACTGAGAAAAAAAGTTAAAATAAAAAACTTTATATAATTTTAACCTACTAACACATATACAGAAGAATTTCTAGGATGCTTGCTGTATGAACAACCAGGGGCACCTTTCTTCAAAGAGCTCCAAAATACAACTCTAGGCAGACAATCAATTTTGGTTTGGCTTTACTTTTTTTTTGCAGAACCAGGGATTGAACTCAGGCCCTTGTGCTTGCCAGGGAAGCACTTATTCCACTGAGCCATCTCCCTGGCTCCCTCAATTTTGGTTTGGGTAGGGCAGACTAATGATCTTCCAGTCTCATACCTGAAGATATGGAAAGTGTTGCTTGGTGAAAAGGGTCTGTCAGTATTATTACACAAGGGCCACATGCTCATTACATGTACTGGTGGGACTACATGAATTCATATTATTTATTTCATTTTAGTGGTACTGGGGATCGAACTCAGGACCTTGCGCTTGCCAGGCAGGTGCTTATGTCACCGAGCTATGTCCCCAGCTCCATCATATTCTTTATTTTTTTATGTATTTGGTACCAGGTCTGCAGGGTCAATGGGGTCTCACTATGTAGATCAGACTCATAGTGATTCTCCTGTTTTCAGCCTCCCAAGCACTGGGATTACAAGTCCACGCCTGGTCTCAATCATCGGCTCAGCGGGGTAATTGAACCCCAGCCCTGGAGCTCTGCCTAAGCAGGAACTTTAGTCCGCTGCGTTATCTGGCCCGCCCCATATTCCTTTTTTAAAAAAATCACTTTTTACACTTGTAATCCTAGTACTAGAGAGGCTGAGTCTGGAGGATTGCAGTTAGTTTAAAATAAAAACAAAAAACACTTAAAATTTTGTCATCATTTCAATTTTTATGTAGAGTGCAGTGTGGTAAGATGTGTACATGTGTAATGATCAAGTGAGGATAGTATGAAATGAAAAAAAAAAAAAACCACTGAAATAAGTAGTTTCATTGTTTTACAGAGGAAGAAACAGTCTCAAAAAGGGACACTAAAAATAAAAATAAAGAGACACTAAAATCCAGATTTACACCGCTCCAGAATCTTTTTTCTTTTTTTCTTGGGGGGTAATGGGGATTGAACCCAGTGCCTTCGCACAGAGTCACCCGCCCCCATCTCATTAAGTTAGGAAGGACTCGAACTTGATGGATCCCTCCAGCCTCGGCCTCCCAAAGTGCTGGAATTATAGTGTGAGCCAACGTTCCCGGGGGCCGGGAAGATGGATCAGTAGAATAAACGCTTGCCTGGCAAGCCCAAGGGCCCCTGGCCTGAGTTCAATTCCCGGTTCCGCAAAACAAAACAAACAAAAAACTACGACGTGCCCGGCTTCAGAATCCATATTTTTACCCAATACTCTTCATGTTTGGGAAGTAAACTGAAAGCAGCCCAAGGGGGCCGGGTGGGAGCGCGCGTGCGGGAGAGCGGCTGGTCCACAACCATCCGGGTCTACAGAACTGGCCGACACCTTCCAGCAGGAATCTCAAGAGACCAGAAAGGCTGACTAGTGAAAGGTCTGAAACATTTCAGGAGAGCGCAGGCAGCAAAAAGGGCCGAAGTAAAGGGACCACATTTGTCATGAGGGCCCTGGATGAAAAGATGAAGCCTCCAAGTTAAACCCTTGAAAACACACAACCAAACCAAAACTGCTCCCGCAGAGCCGGCGTGCCCCCGCTCCCAAGGCGCCCATAACCTCTTACAAAACCCTGGGTTCAAGACCCCAGGCCTCCTCGGTCGCTTCGGCTTCAAGGGCTAGTAGGCGCTATGACCGGGATCCTAAATACTCTCTGTGGTATTCGGGGTCAGACCACAGCAGGGGATACAAAACGCAGAGTACCCTGTCCCCGCTTCACCTACCGCCAAGGCCAGCACAGCACCCCGCAAGCGAGCGCACCGCTCGGGTCAAACGCGCCCAGCCAGGAAGCAGCAGCAGGGGGGCGGGTCTTAAGTGACGTAGACGAGGAGTCTTCCAATTATCGTCCGACCCAGCTACGTTGTGTAAATACATTGGCCTGGGGGAAGGGACGGAAGGCGGGCTATGGTTGCTCGGAAACACTGGAGCCCTAGATTTGAGGAGCAGCGCTCGCTCAGCCCCTAGGGATTTTCATCCTCTCCCTGCCCTAATGGGAAAGCCCAATTTTCCAGACTTCTGACTTTTCTTGGGCCCCTGAGTAAGTTCTCCTCTCAGGCAATTCTCTAGGCAGGTGTTTGTTTCCTACATTTGCTACTGAAATTAGAGCACTTTAGTGACGTCTTACAGTCCCCTGAGGCCCATGTCCCATTCACGAATTATGAGGCTTTTGCTTATCCAGTCAGTAGACAACCAAGCTCCTGCTGTGTTGTGGGTATTGTGTTCGTCTTGGAATGGATCTCAAAGTTGCTTACAGCTAGTCTGACAGGAGCAGATCTGCACTGAGGCAGAGCTGCATGCAAATAACAGCTGCATGCTACAGAGGCCATGACAGAAGTGTGGCCAGAGTACTTAGAAAAGAGTGTGAGTCGAGGTGCTTTTTAAAGATGACCTTTGGGCAGAGGAGATGCCTCAGGGGAATAAGCGCTTCCCTGGCAAGCGCAAGGGCCTGAGTTCAATCCCTGGTTCCGCCAGCGGATTAAAGCATCTGCAAGGAGACACAGGGGAGGGTCCCCCGGGCCTGCTGTGCCCGCCCTGCCCCCAATTGAGACTGGGCATGGTGGCGCAAGCCTGTAAACCCAGCTCTTGAGAGGCTGTAAACAGGCATATCACTACAAGTCGGACCTAGTAGTGAGACCCTGAACACCTTGTAGACTGTTCCCTGAAATACAAAAAAAAGTAAATAAAAATAAATAAATAAAAATGACCTTTGATAGTCTTCAGGAGATATCAGCGGGTTCACTTAGTTACAACCTTCCTAGTCCCCAGTTTCTAGGACTGTTACTGTCTCCCAAAGAAATGTGATGAAAGACTTCAACCAAATATCAGGAAGAGAAACAGCTAAGGGTCTTGGCTTTAGATGTGTCCAACAATCAATGGAGCTATAGTAGTGACAACCATGACCATGTGAAAGTACTACCACAAGGTACTCTGTTATTCACACAACCATTCTTAGAAAGTCTATGGGGGCTGGGGAGATGGCTCAGTAGAATAAGCACTTCCCTGGCAAGCGCAAGAGCCTGAGTTCAATCTCCAGTTCTACCAAAAAAAAAGAAAAAAGAAAGAAAGAAAAAGAAAGTCTATGTAAGCAAAGAAAGTGAAAAGCAAGAAGGTTAGAAAACAAAGGAGGGGCTGGTGAGATGGCTCAGTGGTCTAAAGCACCTCCTTAAAACAAGTTTAGCAAAGCACAGGGACAGCGGTTCAATTCCCTAGCACCACATGCCAGCCAGCCC